AAGACATGCTCCGGAGATAGGTTCCTTCCAGTGTGGCACCTTTAGGCATTGCTGCCGTGGCCATGTTAGACTCCGGACTTACAAACCAAGGCCCTAAGGCGGCAGTGGCGTTAGTGAGAGTTCACATAGCGAATGAAATCCGTGGGAAAGTGCCTTTTCAAGGTAAAAAATGCAGAGTTCTTCAAAGTCATCTGAAAAATCACAATTCCCCATCGCAGAAAGACTTGCATTTTTCATCTCAGCGTCTGCTCCGCTGCCCACCCCCTGTAACTGGGAATAGCAACATCCACCTCTTATCACAGAGACACTGTGACAAATAGTATCTATTAATATTTCTTAATATTTATGACACAGTCAGGTATGATAGCGATGAGCAGGAGGAAATCAATAGTTCTGTATGGGCTTTTAGTCCAGATATCACATATTACACAAGGGCCACTCATCAAAGCGGGAAACAGGATCATGCATCACATCCACACCCTGCAAGGAGCACTACGCTGCTGGGACACAGAAGTGCCATGGAAAAAAATAGTTAGGAAAGCATGTAATTACATACCGTGCCATAATGCACAAGCAAATGTGGTCCTGGTATTTCCTGCCTTGGGAGAGTTTGACCTTGCAGCATTTGGTTTTGGTTGTGGGTGGGTAGGTGGCAGGTGGGTTGCACGGGTGTACGTGGGCTGTGCACGTAACACGCCCGCGGGGCAGGAGAAGATGCGGTGAGTTGTGTGTAACTATGTAATAGGCTCATAATCGGAACATAACTTAATTAAATTTGGAAAGAGAAAGAAATGCATCGGAAAGATTGATCGGAAAGAAAAGATTAAATTCTTTTTTAATTACCTAGAACGAATTTTTTTGTAATTCTTCCTTTTCCTAACAGTGTGCCTTCTCCCGACTGTTAAAATGAGAACCGTGGCAAAGTTAGCAGGTGCCGGGTTGTATTTTTCATCATCTTTGTCAGAGGCTGATAATTTCATCTTTAATTCTCTCAGCTTTAAATTGTGGTTCTGCTGCCACCTAGCTTAGACACGCTTCGGAGCTCAGCCAGCTCCCACCATGCACTCCCGGCAGGCAGTGGTGTATGGTTTGCTTTGAAAAACTGGTTGCAAACTGGTGCTGAAACAAGGATCCAAAAGTGCAGTATATGCTGCATTTGCAATTAACACTTCAAGTCCCAGCAACTGCAATTTTTCTGCCTTTTGTCTCGGTTATGAACATTAGTACAGGAGTTCATGATCTCCACAGGTCAAAACAGCTTAAATCCCCAAAAAGTCAAAGATTATAATAAAAGAATCACCTCTTGCTTACAAGATAATGATTTGTAAATTTTAATTCTATGAGATGAAATTATAAAATAAAATGTAAAATATTTTAGATATGGATGTTTGATGTGAAAGTGGATTGAAGGTCAAAATGCTAACTTAAAAGTGGAAATACAATGAAATTTATATATAAAGGTGAGTTCAGCAACAGGCACATTCCAGGTATTAAGGGTGATTCCACTGAACTGTATAGGTACTTTAACAGTAGAGTGAAGTCCAGTAAGAGAAGAGATCTAATCACTTTATCCCCTTTCCCTCTCTCATTTTACACAGAGGTTCATTTGAGGATTCGACGACCAGGTTTTACACAGCGTGCGTGGTCGAAGCTTTTGCCTATTTGCATTCCAAAGGGATCATTTATAGGGACCTCAAGCCAGAAAACCTCATTCTGGATCATCGAGGTTATGCCAAACTGGTGAGTGCCTGCAACATCTGGTTTGGCCAAAAAAGTCGCCACTACTATCAGACAACTAGTATTAGGGGAAGAGGAGAACACAGAATTAACCATAGAGGGTCAGAAGCAAAGTCCACCCAGCCCAGGGTCCTGTCTCTGGTGGTGGCCATCAGCAGATGCTGAGATGAGATCAGGGCAACGGTTTCGCACCCACCACCGGAACGTCTTCCCAACCTCCAGCAGACCGAGGTTCAGGGTACAGCTGAGCTGGGAAACACTAATTCTGGCCTGAAATTCAGATCTGTGGTCCTGAAGTGGAAATGTTTAGAGATGAGCGTCAAGAGAAATCCATCCAGCTGTTTTGGAGCTACTGAAAAACGGAAAAATAACTTGAAAATAGGTGTCTTAAAATACTGGTGGGAGAGGGGGAGGATGTGCATCTGTGGGCTTTACAGGTGATGGGTGAAGCAGATTTTGCAAGCTGCTGTTTCTGTGTCAGGTCCTTTGCATAAGCAATAAAAAAAGGTGTTCTTAATGGAGATATTAATCATGACCCTGCAATGGCAAGAAATTATTATTATTAATTGCTCTGGCCTGTGTGGCTGAACTGTGGCCAATACAGCTTCTTGCTTTAGGAGGGCCACTTGTGTTTTAGCACCGATAACACGCCTGACTGATCTGTGCAAACTCCTCTGGGATGACTGCATAAGGCTCTGCCTGAAACTGCTCTTCCCAGAAAGTCATGGTCCTCCTCAGTGCTGTCCCTCTGCAAGATCCACCTCCTCAAATGGCAGCATGTGCGAGACCATGACCCCCAAAATTAGGGAGTTTCTGATGGGTTTCACTGTATTGCTTTTTCACTCAGATTACTTTTTTGCCTCAGAAATCACGGTAGAGGTGCACCCCAAATGCCATGTGAGACCATGGAGAGGGGGAGAAGAAAAGAAAGATGGTGGGAGGTGCTGGAGGATGTGGGTGCTTGGGAAGCCACCAGTGAAGGACGGGGCAATGGATTCCTCAAAAGAGCTGCATCCAAGAGGGGCTGATGCCCTCCCTGAGAGTCATGGGCGGGGCAACATTTCTGCCTCTCGGCTTGGGGACTTTTCCCTGCCTTTGGGAAGGGAAACCCGGGAGCGGCGTCAGCAGGTGGGAGCAGTAAGTCAGACCACCTCCATCATGGACCTTTACAGCCTGGTGGCAGCCACCGTCTCTCACCGTGACACTAAGCCTAATGAATGACATCAGAGTTTATCCTCTATAGCATTTCGCTAAGGCCAGGGGGGTGTCCAGCGAGGTGTTGGATGATCAAGGAGGAGCAGGTGCAGGACTGTCCTTCCCACCCCAGGAGGATCTGGACTAGGGTCTCTGCTGGTCCCGTCACCGAGCCCCAGCTCCTTAGACATTTTGATCTCCCTGAACACATCCATGATAGCACAAGAATTGTCCCAGATCTCTTGTGGGACTGTGACTGTGTAGGATATTTTGCCCCTGACCAGCACAGGAAGGCGCAGGAGCATCTCACAGCCATCAAGGGACAGCAGAGTGTGCTACAGACCACAGCGCCGGGCAGGGGAGGGCAGAGGGGGTAGAGCTAAAAATACAGTAAGCCTATTAACCTGAGCTCTGCCTGGGCCCCAAGGGACAGCTTCGGTTCCCGGTATAACCTGATTTTCCATGCTTGCCAGTGCCACAGGGGCACTGCTGTAGGGGCACACTGAGGTTTGTGAGCCCGCCAGCACATTCCAACAGCTCAAGCAAATTGGGAGGATGCTTGCTGTACTGCATCGCTCTTTGTACTGGGAGAGAAGTCTGAATTTTTCAGTAGATGCCAAAATGGTCAGTATTTAGCCTAAATAGGTCCTTGCTCAGGTTAAGGCTGGGAGTTAAAAAAAAAAAAGGCAAAATAAATCAACCTGAGCTGTGAATGATACGAAGTTACATCTCCCAAGAAACCCTCTGTGCTGGCATTTGTTCTTCCCTCATGAGAGTCTTCCTTTTATATTACGAAGGATAAACGGGCGAAAAGGTCACTCCGGTTGCCTGGTTCTGGGACAACCCACGATGCTTTAGTTAGGAGAATATTCCCACGAGGAAACCTCCTTTCTGCTTTGCTTCACTTCAAGAGGAGCGGAGCACATGGCTGACATTCCCTCTCGTGCTCTGCCCTGATGGTACTCTGCTCCTTTCCGCAGGTCGATTTTGGCTTTGCAAAGAAAATAGGATTTGGAAAGAAAACATGGACTTTTTGTGGAACCCCGGAGTACGTAGCCCCCGAGATCATCCTGAACAAAGGTCACGACATTTCAGCAGACTACTGGTCACTGGGAATCTTAATGTATGAACTCCTGACTGGCAGGTATGGGCATCGGGGCCGGCGCCACTGCTGAAAATAGACCCGAATATTTCTGCCGTTGTCACCCTGATTAGGCGAGGGGAAGGTTCAGAGCTGGCGTGTGCTGTAGCAGCACAGCACTGTGCTGCTGACCCTAATAATTATTTTTTCTACTTTAAATCACAGCTTCCGTGCAGACCTCTCAAAAGGGCAAGACATGAGCAGGCTTTTTAGGAAGTGCTGTGAAATGACACCCAAAACCTCATTTTTGGCCCTGAACTGAGACTGAGCTGAATGAGGTGGGGAAAGGGTTTGCAATTCAACCAGGGAGGCGCAGCGATGGGCTGCCGCACGTTTCAAAAGGAGGAGGTAGACCTGACACCGTGGGGACTTGAGTCCCTATATCCATCCCTTCCCTTCTTTAGTTCTGGGTGTATATATTAACTGCTCATGCTGGCAGTAGCAGCTTCCTTGCGCTTCCTCACCTCATCCCCCACCACTCACTCCCAGAGTAGAGGAGCTGGAAAAGGAGCCGTCGCCTCAACCTGCTTATCCTTTGGGGCTAGGCGCAGGCCCTGATTCTGTTAAACCAATGGAAACCTAATTAATCCCCACTGAAATCTTGTCACGACGTCAAACGGAGAATAAGCCAGCGAGCGTTGCTCAGACCCCTGTTCCTCAGGTTGTTGGGACATGGGCCGTCATGCAAGTGAGAGGTTTAGCATGTGCTGCTGCAGAAAACACTACTCTTTGGTACTTCCCTGCAGCCAGCACCACTGACAGTATCAGCGCTCCTTGGCTGAGAACTGGTTAAGATCAGAAGCAGCAAAGCAATTGCTAGTTGTCATCTACCTTTTCTCATTTCTAGTAGGGTACTATGTTTTGCTTTGGTGTTTGGGTTTTTTTTTTATCAATCTTCAATGCCATTTTAAAGCACAAGCTTTTAACCTTTTTCCTCTCGCCTCTGAAGTCCCCCTTTCTCAGGCCCAGACCCCATGAAGACCTATAACATCATATTAAGGGGAATAGACATGATTGAATTTCCAAAGAAGATTGCCAAAAATGCTGCTAATTTAATTAAAAAACTATGCAGGTAAGCGCATGAAATATAATCACCTTGATCTTATTTGCAAAGAAATGAATCATTCAGAAGGATTCAGAAAGTAACTGATTTGTTACTCGTTTTATAGGGACAATCCATCAGAAAGATTAGGGAACTTGAAAAACGGAGTGAAAGATATCCAAAAGCACAAGTAAGTGTCTTCTCCACCATCCATCAGATCCAACCCACACAAACATGAATTTCAAACACTTCAGTTTTCAGTAAAAAATACTCCTTTTAAATTCCTTTGGCCTTTCCCTTCTAGTGTGCTTTAGACTCTAATTGAATTTCCGTCAGACTTTTTTTTGCCCAGTGCTTCAGCGTAGGTGCCAGCCTTGCCTATGAACAAAACCCATTGCACATTGACATTGCACACTTTCATTACTCTAATGCGGAAGAGCATTTGGAAGCAATCCAACTCGGCCACTGCCTGCTTGGATTTTCTTTTTTGGCTTGAGGAATCACTTTCCAAGGTTTTCCTTGATTTCCCTTCCCTCCAGCCCAACACACTTGCTGTCTACCCATGATGTTAATTCATCATCATCCCTTTTGGTCTGATGGGAGAGTTAAGTTTGGTCTGATGGGAGAGTTAAGTGATGTCTCATAATTATGTTTTCACACTGCTGGAGGGGAATAAGAACAAGTTAGAGAGCCATTGTAAAAACAGGTTATTCATCCATCCATGCTGGTCCTTCTCTTCTCCCATCCCCAAAGCAACAGAAAATGGGTTGGATGGACATTTTGGGGTGGACAGATTGAAGGCTCAGCTCAGGGCTCATGCACCCACCTAAGCTGCTGTAGCTCGAGCAAACCCGAGGTGCCCAAACCAGGACGAGGACATTCCTGTACGTGCCCTTACCTCCCAATCTCCTGCAAAGAAAGAACATTAGGGATCTCATGTGGGAGGGTTTGACCCTATAGGAAGGAAGAAGCAGCTGCCAGGACACCTGCAGTGAGGAACGGTTTTCTTCTGAGCACTGGTAATTTGCATTTGCCATAGTATCACCACTGGTTTGCTATACACACTTCATTTTCAATCCCAAAACACTTCTATAAAGATGACAGGAAAAATTATTAAGGCTAATTGGAGAATTTGAAGAAGATGACTGCAGGAGATGAAACCCACTGTTTAAGCGATTTAAATTTCATTTTGTGCTACAGAGACATTTTCACCGTATGTCTAACTGTTTCATTATTCCCTCCCTTCTAGATGGTTTGAAGGCTTTAACTGGGAAGGGTTGCGAAAAGGGACACTGACACCTCCTATAATACCAAGTGTAAGTTTTCCTACTTATTTTCTCCTTCCCAGCCAATAGGTTTCTTTTACATGAATGTTGTGAGCTTCAGGCACTAATACACTATAGGTAAATGGTGACAGTATGTGCTTTATTTCTTCTGAAGATGCTTGAAGTCACGTTAGAGACATTTCCAGCTGTACTTGGTCTCTGGGCAGTCTGTTCCAGGAGAAGGTGGTTTAGGGAGGGCACGACTGCAATGAAATGCCCTTTGCAGTAGGAGATCGGGGCAGGATCGCTCACTGCTACACATTTTTCTTGTCCTCACCTGCTCTGCTTGTTTCTTCATCTACTTTTCACATTTTACTGGAGAGCTGCCACTTTCACCCCTTCTCTCAGATGTGTCCTCTTTCTTTCTCCTTTATTCTTATTTCTTTTGGAGAGGCAAGTGGGATTTGTATGCCATCTCCCTTTTCTTTTGCATTAACCTTCCTTTCTGTCTTTTCTTTTGTGCTTTTCACCCTTTTTTTCCTGCGTCCCTGTCCTACATGAATAGCCCTGTTACCGCCTAGTTTATGTTTAACTGGGAGCAGAGGCAGAGGGACAGCTCAACTCATTTTGCTCTGGAGCAAAGCTCTTCCTTTGATGTCTTTGTGAGCTCTTTACCCACAAAGCCCGCCGCAAAGGGAAACCAAACAGGATTAGCTGATAGAAATTACCTTGGCCCCTTCTGTTCTGCAGCCTCCTGTCCTTGTTTCAACTTAATCCCTTTCTCTCCGTGCCTCTCCCGCGGGATCACCAAGAGAATGACATTAGCAATCGAGTTTAATTGCACCCCGTTGCTCCGTCCACCCGTGGTCCTGCACCTCCCGCAGCAGTGGCAGGCACGGCTCTGGGGCTAAATCTGCCATCCCAAAGTTTTCTTAGCAGCTATGAAAGAGCAAGAGGGTTTTGCATCCCCCCGCTTTTTGCCCTATGGGCTGCAGAAGTTACTGGCAGTTGGTGGGAGAAAGCAGGACTTTGCAAATATCTGCCTAAAGCATGATGCCCAAAGAACATAAAAATGTTTTATAAACCAACACTGTGTTTTTTCTGGTAAGCTTCTTTAGAATGACTATTAATTTGTCGGCAGTACTGCTCACCACATTTCAAATCAGGCAATAAGGTCAAGTTTGCTCCTTTACATCCGGTTTCAATTCCTGGTTTACCTGTGCAGGATGTCAATGTAGCCTGAAAATGCCCCAGAATGTTTCTCTAATTGGTTTCAGTGGATTTTTAGTTTAGTAAGAACATTTCCAATACTGCTTTTACCCAATATACATATGGACCCTGCATGTCTAACCCTCAAACAGCACAACCAGCCACAGTGACTTCAGTAGTATCTGCTCTCTATGGGCTCCCTGACGTCCCCGAGCTGGGACGTTGCTCCACCACCAGAAATGGTCTCTGCTCCTTTGGCATTGCCTAGAGGAAGGCTGCTCTCCAGCCTGTTTGTGCAGGAAATCACGTTTTCTTTGCTTTTTCAGTTAGGTCCAACACAGTAGGAGAAAAGGGTTGTGTGAGCACCCAGTTCACTTTGTCGGTGTTATTTCTTGGCATCATCAAGGCTGTATGTTCATGGGTCTGGTGACGTCCTACCAGGGAACATGTCTGTGATTGCTCCCAAGACAGTGCTGTCACCCTTTTGGCCAGTACACCACCATCAAGGCTGTCCAAAGTAGATGGGAGCATCCTTCCCCCTTCAGAGGAATCCTTCTTCCAGGACAACTTAGTGCTGACAGCCATACATTACCCTAATCCCAATTCAACACAGCTCATTCTTTCCTAGAACTCTTAGGACTAATATCTTCTCTAAACCTACTCTTGAGATCCTCTCCAAAACCTGCCTCCATTAACCTAGTGAACCTCGTCCACCCCAAAGCTGTCTGTCCCACTCAGCCTTGTTTTCCACAACCAGCTCAGTTGCTTTGGCAAAGGTCCCAGCTGCCACTAAGGGCCATATCTGAAAAGTGACCTAAAATACATAGCTCTGTGAGAAGAAATCAGGTTTTCCTTCAATCAGTCCACCTCTCCTTGTTAGCTGGAACGGAGCCAGCAGGGATAAACATAGAGACTAGCTATTTTCTTAAGAAAAAAGCCTTCCTCAGCTCTTAAACCCTCATCAGCAGTTATGTGGTGCTACCGGGGAGGCAATGAAAAGCTGCTCCTTAGCTCTTATTCCACAGGATTTTAGGACATCTCAGTTTACAGCCTGCTCCTAGGACATTGCTTCAGGGAGCAGCTGAGCCTCGATACCACCGCTTCAATCTGTGACAGTAGCTGTCCTGAAAAGCTTATCCTACTTCTTGACTTTTCCAAAGACGTGCTGTCTTGCATCACAGCTCTTGCCTTTGAGAAAGATGTGCAGATCTCTGCACCATGATTCATCTCAAGCCCTGATGTTGGTAAGCAGCCAGACAGCTGATGCTGACACGTTTGCACTCTATCTTCTTGGATGGACAGGAGATAAATCTAGCGTGTCCCTTCTTGGCTGGGGAGGGCACTGAGAGGGATGTTTGCTCCCGTATCTCTGACAGTGAAGGACTGCAGGCGGTGTAGGTGACCTGAACCTCAGAGCTGTGGGGAATTGCATACAACAGTGTTAGCATCGCATAAAGTCCATCAGCAGAGTAAGAACTCATCCAACCTTTCTTCCCCAAATCATATTTCTTCTAAGAAAAAGAAAACCCTCTATGTTTGAGGTTTTGGATATACTCAGCCTTTTTATTTTGTCAGATGAACACAAAAGGCAATCCATTGCCCAAAGCAGGACTTACTTCCCTTAAAGCCTCATCTAACCAGAGCTCAAAAAACCATGCCTGCCCTGCTAGGTGCTCCCAGAGTGGACATGTGCAGAGGAGCTCTGAGGAACTCTGTAGATATTTCCACCCCATGCAGTCCAGTTACGCACTGTCCATCGCTGCTGAGAGGCTTTTGTAAGAAGCTACAGCTCATGCGCGTCCTCTGTGAGTGGCCACACCAACTGCATCTCTTATGCTTTGGTGGCTGGTATTTTGTACGTACGTCCCCAACACTTCTGCTCCCAGAGGGAGAGCTCACATGAGATGAGCTGAGAGAAACAGAGGGATGTGGTCCAGCCCACGGCACCATGGAGGAGTGTGTGTGGAGCACCCCAAGGGTGAGGACCCAAAGGGTGAAGGCTCTCCAACTCAACAGTGTCGACACTGACAAAGCAAACAGTATTCAGTACATAGTGAAGCATCTCATCACTCTGTAGTACTCCATGAAGCTTTTACAGGTTGGTTTTCTTCAAAGTGAGTTGGGTATTCAAGGATCTTAATTTTCCCCAAGATGTTTTCAACAGCAGGGAAATGCTGATGCAGCCAGGCAGCAAATTAAATTTAGAGCTGATGTTGGAGCTCTTGTTGATCAAATAGTCTTTTCTCAAGGCTTATAGCAGCATCCAGCATCAAATACATCTCCTGGACTGTAGGCTGGGCTCTGGCCGTGGCTTCTCCACCAGCTGCACAAGCAAAATGGCTAAAGAATACAGCAAGGGTTTCCTGCACAGCAGTCCTATGGCAAGTGCAGTCCCCTCCAGCCTGCACTGGCTACTTTGGGTACGGCTTAGAAGTACCAGTTTTCTTTAGTAAGACACTGATTATTTTGGTCTAGAGAGCTGCTGGTCTGGTTTTGTATTGTTTCATGTTTTTAAACTGCATTGAACGTTTCTGGGTCTCATTGTAAGAAAGTTTCAGTCATCATTGTAAAGCAAAAAAAAATTAGAAATTATCTAGCTATGGTAGATTTGAAATGACATTATTTCCAAAAAAGAAACATACTTGGCCTTCATCCTAGGAAGATGGGCTTCTCTGGTAGGTTCCGTAAGCTGAGCAGTACTTGTCAGGAAACTCGAAGGCAGCAAGGCCCAGCTCATAGCCCCAGATTCAGGATCCTGGCGCCATAAATTGGAAATCCTGGGCTTCGGGGAGGCCCAGGGCTTTTGCATGTCTTTTTTGCCAACTTTGTAACCATGGGTAGGACAGTTGCTCTTGAACTAGAGACCCTAGAAGGCCTGGATCATTAGAGTAGGGGGGCTGTGGGAAGTCCTCCTGGGATTCAGCAAAAAATTGTTGAATGCAGAACTTCTCTTGCTTGCTGCAGTTAGCAATGAATGTTTTTGAATGATCATAGTTGTGAGATGGAGAGGAAACGTCTGCAGAGGTCCACTTTGATGACCGTCCCCTTCTTGTCACTCTCTTCTTTCCGCAGGTTGCATCTCCAACAGACACAAGCAATTTTGACAGCTTCCCGGAGGACAGTGATGAACCACCCCCTGACGACAACTCAGGATGGGACATAGATTTTTAATGTATTTCTCTTACCTGCTTCTGCCTTGCTGAAGACAGCTTCCTGGGACGTGGCTGCCAGCGAAACCGAAAGAATTGGGGAGGATTAGTGCTCGGGGTCACCATGATGCCTTGATTGATGCTGCTACAGTAACTACAGTGGCATTAGGACTTATTGCTTAGATGACAATAGTGCTCTTCATGTTTTATGTTCAAACTTAAAATAGCAGTTGACATGGTGGTCCTGACGCAAAGCCTTTCACCAGTAAAGAAACACGTTTTCTGTCACTGCGATGATCTTGCTACGCTCTTAATTATAAAAGTCAAGAGATACGTAGTGTAAGACGCACTTAATTCTAGCTGCAAGGTACTGGCTTTATTGGTAGGATCAGTAGTAGTTTATTAAGTGCTGTAGCTAAATACAGTGCAGGATTTGGGCTACTCCCACCCTCCAAACTCTGTAGGTCTTCTACTGTAGGCCAGTGTAGGAGCAAAGGAGGACCACAACAGTACTGGTCAAAGAGTTCACGTCAAAGCAGTGGTAAAATTTGTCCTTCTTCTTTCCGAGCAGTATTCTTGACAAAACTGAATGTTACCTTTCCTCTTTCTTTTTGAGATTTTTTTTTTTTTTTTAGCCTGGTAAAACAAAAGCACAACTGCTCTAGATCCTGTTAAGGCAGATATGGGTTGCTTTTCTCATACAGCTGAGAACATACTGTAACATGATGTTTGGGGTTTTTTTCCCTTTCCCTTGGTACAAATACATAACTGCATGAAAAAAAAAAATCATAAAATTAATCCATTTTACATACATATAAAGTAGTGCTTAAATAATGGTCCTGTAATAAAGTAACAGCAGCCCACTGGTCTTATTGATTAGCTATGAGGCATAAAACTAAGCTTAATTTTTACCTTTTTAGAACCCAAAGGGAACACGTAAGACCCATAATGTACTTTATAGGTGCTATGTACATCCTTCATCTGTGAATATAAATTGAGTCAACCACCGTTTCAGAAATATGTAGCAAGAGGCATCATTCTCCATCACGCTCTTAGATGATTTTACGTCTCTCTCCATGTCTGCATCTCTTCCGTGTTTAGTACAAAGCTAATTAAAATAAAAGGTGGTACAGGGCCAGTTTGCTGGCTATATTTGTAACATTGCCTGTAAAAATGTAATTCTAATGCCTGACCAGACTAAGGAGCTCCACAGGAAAGTCAGTGGAATTAAATGGAAAACCAGTATTGGATATGTTTGTGCGAGGTCTCCGTGTCGCCAAGGTACCAGGTCCCCAGTGACCCATGTTTAAGGTACAGGGATGGCTAGAGCCAAGTCAGCTCGTATGAAAAAAAGAGCTGGGGAAAAAAATATTATCATGTGTACACTTTTCCCTCAATTTTGCTGCTTTTCCTTTGCTTTAGTGCAGTCTCTTCTGATTTGTAGGACGTAACAGAGGAATCCTGGCCTGGGTGCCTGCTTGTTGCGTAGGCATGGGACTAAAAGTTTCTCAGCTTTCAGTCTCTAGAACAGACCCTGCCCCAAAAAATAAGCGGATGCTGCCACATTTCATCTCAGAGCTGCCAAGAGCTGTCATATATGCTGGAAGTCAAAAGATTAACTTCTGCTCAAAAGTCATTTATATGACTTTTGCCTCCATAGTACATGGAAAATGTTATGTTTTAACAGTAAAAAATTGCTTCCGTGATGTTAGATCTCAACTCTTTCCCATGTTCCTAAAGAAAGCAACTTAACAGAGTTTATTACGAAGCTATTTTCTCCCCTTCTTTGACAGCATTGACAATATCTGCTGTTTGCCAGCAAGCTAAAGAGCTCGGTCCCCACGACCCCTTCGAAACCAGTCTGTCGCTGAATTTCCTCTCTAGTTTTCCGAAGGGTGAGGCGACACCGTCGGCACAATAACTTCAGGTTATTTCCACTGTTCATTAATCATCGTTTGCCTTGAAAACCATTGGGAAAAGACAGTAACTCTGTCTCCCAGGAATTACTCATGTAGGGCAAATACACGCTTGCTTTTCAGCCTTTCTCTGAGGGATGGAAGGCACTGAATGCCAGTGCTGAATACTAGGGCTAAAATAATCACTAGGCATCTTAGCAAACAGGCTGCTGCCGAAAAACCGAATTCTTTGCTCACATTCCCCTGGTTTTTCTCTCGACGGATGCGGCGATGTGGGAGGAGAAAATGTGTTGCAGTTGGTAACTTTCTATAGAAGAACGTAGAGAGGAGTTTGTCCCAAAATTATGAGAATCAGTAGCTGAGATGCAGTATGTCAGTCGAGGGGCTGCCAGGAGGAAAAAGAGCATCACAACAGTTTTGAGGGACAACCCAAAAACATTACGGGAAGAAGGCTTTAAAATGGGCTGATGAGTTATTTTTTCTTTTCCTATCCCTTTTTCCCCGTGCCATGCAGGGTAATTAATACCTGCGGCGTGCGGCATGCACTGTACCGAATATAAGTTTATTTTGATACTGAACACCTCACTCGACTTCCATCACCTTTCCGAAGCATACTTTAAACAACATACTTAGCATATGTATATGATAAATGCCTTCATTTATAAGTAATATATTTGAGTTCCATTATATATATATATATTCACAACAACGGATTGCCTCTGTGTTTCCACTTCCTGTCCTTTCTTCTTTGTCTCCTTTTTTAATATATGGGACGATGGCGTATTTACGTAAGGGGAAATCGGCTCCCGTATTTAAAACAACTGTATTAAGATTGGTGTCGTTAAGACACGGACGATCCGTAGCTTCTCACAGTGCTGCATTATCCATAGCAAACTCTTATTTAACAACAGGACCACAAGCGAGTATTTATGTAAATAGGTATTTTCGTGTTGATATTTTGTGGTACACATATAACTTTTTCTTTTCGAGTTCCATGGCATTATTACTTCCATTTTCTTATTTGTAATGTACTGTTTTTAGCTCAAGGTAGACTTGAATTAATGTCATAATTGTCAGTATTATTAAACTTTATGTCAACTGTACTGTTAACTCATCTGTCCCATAGTTTTAGAACATGACTAGCTATCCGGCATTGTTGCAAGTGCCTTAAATCCATGGCATCCTATTAAAAAAAAAAAAAAATTACAGATTTGGTGTTATGCTGCATGACAAAGACAAACACACCTCAAAATGTCGTCCTTTCTTAGCTTGCTGCGTTTTACAGTTCTTTCTGCTACCAATTTCTAAGCCTTTATTATATAATATTGATGAATTACAGAAATGATGAAGTCGTTCTCTTATTTCTGTTCAATGTACCAGAGCTGTGTATCTGTTAATGAGATACAGAGTCATTTCTGTGAAATGTATAAATGTTATGTGCGGGTCAAATTAATATATGACATCCTATCAGTCCGTAGACAGGTATTCCTGTTTTGCTAAGCTGTGCAGATTCAACCCATTGTGCCGTCCAGCGCCAACCTCCCGTCTTATACAAACCCCGTATAGAAATCTCCCACCCAGAAAAAAACGATGAGTGACTCGGTTGTGCAACCCGACCTGTGTGGTTTTTTTTTTTTTGACCTGAAACCCCGACGCAAAGGCGTAGCTCGTTTGCACCACTCAACAAAACAGGATCCGTGCTTTTCCCCCGACTCCTTCTATATGCAACCCACGGCGGAGGCGAGCCCTCGGCGCTCCCGCGGAGCTGAGCTGGAAAGCTGGAAGCTCCTCGTTCTCCGCAGCTCCCCGGCCGCGTAAACCAGGCGTGACGCTGAGACTTGGGCGGTTTTAGGGCTTGAGCGGCAAAAGGGGAAATTCTCATTTGGAGTTGCCTATCGTCCTGAGTCCCAGCTTACGCTGTTTTTACACTGGCCCTTTGTTTTATATTCTTATTTTCTCCAGTTTTCTTCTTACATAAAAGAGGTTTTGTTTGTCGGACAAATGTCGGTCATCTGCCGGTCGTCGGCCGGTTGCACTCTTTTGATGTAGATTTAAGAACTTTTTTTCATAAACTTTAACCGCTTTTGTTTTGCTCTGTATTTTCCCTGCAGCTGTAATTGCCGAGTGCCTGTTGTATACTTTATAGAGTTGAAATAAAAATAATTACTTTTGAACGGCGTGTCAACATCTTTCTTCCACGGCAGAAGCCAAGTTCAGGAGAGTGCTTTTGCTCTAGTGCTTAAATCAGATTTTTTTATTCTCATTTATGATGATACGCAGTAAGAGAGAACCAAACAAAATTATGTGGTACTTACAGATTAGTACCGAGGTCCCGGCTTGTATCTTCATCCAGATTTTCTGCAGGATGCAAAGGCCACAGTTACTGTACTTCAGCACTTATTTAAGCACTGGCAGCACCCCGAGCAGCCTGGCCGAAGGGGTCCGAGGCCGACAGGGGCCCTGCTTCGAGAAGGGTGGCAAGGGGTGACACACCCTCCCCCCCCCAGTTTGTTTGCAACCCAAATTATTCTGTGAGTGTGCTAAGCAATAAGCACATTTACAGCACCTTTACTCTTCAGAGGTGAAGAACTCACTTTATATTTTGATTGTTGCCAATATAATCATAGAATCATAGAACCATAGAATCGTTTAGGTTGGAAAAGACCTTTAAGATCATCCAGTCCAACCATTAACCTACACTACCAAGTCCACACTAAACCAATTAAGGATAGATTAGACTAAACCATGTCCCAAAGTGCCGCGTCTGCCCGTTTTTTGAACACTTCCAGGGATGGGGACTCCCCCACCTCTCTGGGCAGCCTGTTCCAACACCTCTCTGAGCAGCCTGTTCCAATGCCTGACCGCTCTTTCCATGAAGAATTTTTTCCTAATATCCAACCTAAACCTCCCCTGGCACAGCTTGAGCCCATAAAATAAGCGAGTCCAGGGCACGCAGCTGGGAAGCGACAGTACTTCCAACACGAGCTGCGTCATTCCTAGACGGGATGTGACTGCAAACACCCTCCCGTGTCAAAAAACCATCGATGGTGTCCTTGCCATCACTGTCCCTTCTGGTTAATGCCAAGAGGCGCCGACGTGGAGGCACAGCACAGCCATGGGATGTCATCAGGCCGTCACCGCTCTCTGCGGGATGGTGCCTACATTTTGCAGCGTTCAGGATGTTGAGGCTCTGCCCGTCCCAGTGGATTTAAATCCATCCCTGGGAAACTGCTCGCCCTCCCCATGTGACACAACTGTCTCTAAATCTCAGTGAGGTCAAGGTTAAGGGTGTACTTCAGTGCTATGTGGACACAGAGAGGGGTAAAAACTAAGGAAGGTGATGAAGGGAGCAAGAAAACATCCTTCCAGGAGGGAAAGAAATTGGATAACTGCCTAAGCAGGAGCCGGGAAACATC